GGCCTCTCCCGCCAGATATGCCACAACTGTTGGCGTCTCCTTCTACTCCATCGAGTTCTTCGTCAAGAGAGGCCTTATAAAACCGGTTCCATCGGTTCCAGCGATCAAAGCTCAGGTGACGATCACTCGATCTAACATTAATAATGTTCTTCGCGACCGAATGGCTAAACGCGAGGAATTAAGAAAGAAAATGAAGAAACCCCGACAAAAATAGTTACCATTGATGGGCTTTTAGACACGTTTTGTAATTCAACTATAATTAACTGTTTGTAAAATTTTGAAAATAAATTAAAACATCGGATATAAGTTTATTTAATTTTTATTACGGCATTAAAATATAAAAATATAAGTTTAAGTAGATTTGAATTCATGTATAAAATTAGTACAAAAATATTAGTCATAATTATTATATGATATAAAGTATGAAAAATGAGATTTATATAAAAATGAGAAGAAATGGCAAAATATTTGATGAAATCTCTCTAATGAAAGGTTAAGGCACTAAACGATACAAATTCACAACCGATTTGAGTGCTATTGTATTCAATTGATTGCTTTTCTAAGGCTTAAGTATTTACTAATACTTTATAATAATAATAATAATGTATAATAAAAACTATTAAAACTATAAAATAATGACTTTGTCTTCAAATACTGATTGGATTTGTATTGTAATGAATGGAATGTTTGATCGCTTCGGACATCGATTCAAATCGATTACACGTTTTCTTTCTTTTCGTTTTGATTTTCATTTGATTTTTTATTCGTTTGTTTCTCTGATTTCTCAGTCTTTTCATTGGAAGTCAACGTATTGTGGGATCCGTTCTCCTCTTCGGTGTGACGATTGTCTTCCGAGTCGTAGTCAGAGATGCGTTCATCGGTGGCTGCGTTGGGGTCACCGTTGGCCTCGTGTTCGTCGATCTCCTGATTGACGCTATTCTCGGGAGTGAGCGGACACTGAAGACACTTCGACTCATTGATGCCGTAATTAATACAATAAGTGCCGACACATTCACAGCAGCCGTCGTGAAACCACCGGTAAGAGGAGGCGCCCATCGATGTACACGAAGACTTGCATTTGTTCCAAGACATGCATTGAGACATATAAGCGACCGTACAGTTGACGGCCGTGTCTTTCTCCACGTCAATACCATCGGAGCCGTTGTTCTTCATGGGGTCGCTGTGGACACCGATTGACTCCATTATCACTACTTTCAACGGAAACGAATACGATGTCCACCGAAGCAAGTGATCCCTCTCTTCGGTGAGAACAGTGAACAAGTCGTGCTGTCCTTCAGTCAGATCTTCGACGTGTGATTTGGAGGCCAGCGATGACTCGCTTGTGTTGGCCTTCGGACACATCTCTGCGGCAATTGGGATAAACGCAAGAGATGACAATATATGACACAAACATTGTGTGAGACAAAGACATACCAACACAAGAGCAACAGTCGTGGTATAGATAGTCGAGACAATGATAACAGTCTCGACTACACGTCCGGTTCTGCTTGAAGTGATGGCAATTACAGCTTTGCGTTAACATACACTTCGACACCACCGAAGCGCACACCGCCTCATTGCACCCAAACACACCCACAACACACATCGTGGTCAACGTCACCGCACAACACATCCACACAACAACACACGTCTTCATCATTGCATTCAATGCCAATAATGTTGTCAACAAATAAACAGATTGTTATTGAGAAGCCATTAATCCATTCATTCATTCATTACTTATGCAAAGCAAACATGAAATGGACTTTTCGTCCAAACATACACTCAATGTTTGATTGTTTTTCATTACTAAACGATTGTTTTTCTTCCCTTTAATACTCGCTTTAATTGTTTTCAAACTTTGAATACTTTTTTTTTGTTAATTTACTTAAATTTAAAACAATTTATAATTACTTTTATAAGTTTTTTCGGAGAATTTGATGAAAAAAGCCGTAAAGACCTCTATATATAGGGAAAAGTGAATCACTTTTACTGAATGATTGACGTATTGTTTCAACGATTGATTTATTGTTGAGTTTAGCCATCAATTGATTGATAATTAATTATAACTAAGTTTTTGTCATATTTTATACCTTAATATGAGTTCAGAGACAATGTTTTGGTTCAAAGGAAGTGTTAACGAAGCGATCAATAAGTCTAGGGCTGAGAGGAAATTGTTTGTCGTTTTCATCAATGGTTTGCAAATTAATTGATTATTTATTTCTAACTTTAAAATCAAATGGTTTTTTGAAATGTGTTTCAAATGTCAGGAACTGATGACATCTCCGCCAAAATGAATGGTCTCTACGAAAGCCTTTCCCATTTGTTGTGTGAACTGCCGTTAATAGCCATCAAACTCGAGGCACAATCAGATAATTGCAATCTTTTCTCTCAAATATGTAATTATAATGTGTTTGTCATTCACTTTATGAGGACTTGAATTGATCTCTTGTCTCGCGTGTCAACAGATCCAGTGATTGTGATTCCGAGTACTTATTTCATTGACTCGAATGGCGTTGCGATTGAAATCATCGGCGGCTCTGTTGACGACCAAAACGTTTTGTTGCAGAGAATTCACAAAACAATCGATATTTACAATCAGAGCTTATCTTCGAGTGTAACTCAAAATACCACACAATCTAATGATAATGAGAGAGCGAAGAGCGAACCCGTGTCTCAAGTGTCCAACACTCGTGAGCCAACGCCAGAATCTACTCCTTCAGCGCCAGCGACTGCTTCCTCGTCTTCAGCCGTCGCTAGTGTTGAGTCTGAGAGGCCGTCGTTGGACTCAAAGGTCGAGAGAGCGAACCAATTGATTGAAGCGATTCGACAAAAGAAAGCTAAAGAAGAGGAAGAAAGAGAAAAAGCCGATGAAATTGAGAGACGAAAGGGTATGAAAGAAATGTTATCTGCAAAGCGTTTGCGAGAAGACAAGGAAAAGATGGATATTGTGAAGGAAAGGGAACGCGAGAAGAGGGCAGAAAAGTTGGCGCGAGAGAGGGTTTTGGCACAAATCGCTGCCGACAGAGAGGACCGCAAAGCGCGACAAATGACTTTCACTGACAGCACTGAAAGCAAAACAACGGAACCAAACGATGCGAACTCTTCGCAGTCTTCTCCAAAAGAGCCAGAAGTTCGTCAAAGAATGGACAAAACGGCTCGCATTCAGTTCAGACTTCCCGACGGCTCGACTAGAAATAATGTGTTCGAAGCGACTGATAGTCTGGAAGTCGTTAAACAATACGTGTCCTCCAATCTAAACATTAGGGGCTTTACTCTCTCCACTTCATACCCTCGCAGAGAGTTCGGAACCAATGATTACAACCAATCTCTACGAGATTTGTCTTTGTCTCCCTCGTCGGTCTTACTAGTGGTCCCTAACTCTGGAATCATTAGTTCGCGAGCACTCACTTCACAGTCATATATCTGGCAAATACTAACATATCTAATGAGTCCACTTGTGATGGT